ATTTTTCACCTATGTATTTGGAGATCATTCCTGCTAATTCCTTTATATAGTTGTTATATTCTTCGGATGTGCTCCCTTTAATAATATTTTGCAGCAAAATGTTTAAAACAGCAGTTTTTTGCATCTTTCTTTTCAAACATCGAAAAACACGACAAAACAGAAAATAATTTGTAAGCAATTTTTTATTCTTGAGAATAAGTTTAGTGAAGGGACCAACAAAAAAAATCGATTCATCGACACTTTAAAATATGTATTACTTTTGGCCAGCAAATAAATAGCAGCTGCCAGACCACAGTGCAGCGTAGGGAAATTCGGTTAAAGAGTTAACAACACTGCAACTGAGTTTAACCTTTTTATTTATACGAATCAAATATTCGGCAAGAGAAATGAGAACATTTTCGCAGTACTTTACATTGCAATGAGTCAATAATTACAAAATTAAATAATGACTTCAGTATAGCAACCCCTGGCGTATGAGCAACCTGTTAATGAACAAATTGCATTACGACACTTAACACGCACACATTGCACTGTACTCGTTGATGAACAACGCGGATCAGTCCAGTATGCTTGTACGCTGCACATCAGCTGACAGAGTAAATTATAAATTTAATAGTTGCATTAAAATGAGTAGTTAGTGTATTCATTAAATCTAACGAAATGCAATAGCAGTTGTCGTCAGAGGCGCACCCAGGAATATGTTTTGAAAGTTTCATAAATTGCATTTATTTCCATAAAATTAACAAAGAAATCCAACATTTTTAACCAGCTTCAAAAAAGGGGAGGTTATCAATTCGTCGGAATATTTTTTCTTCTTTTATGTATGCCACCGCATAGCTTTGGACCACTTGAACCGATTTCAATAATTATTTTTTTATCGAAAAGATGGTACCTCAAGGGTGACTAGTAATTTGGTTTAGATCCGGTCACTGAATCATGAAAAAATTAATGGTACTCCTAAATTTGCATACGCGCATTGAAGTCGGTTGTGTTTTTTACTTCAAAATTACTTATGTTTTTGATAAAAAGTTCTAAAACACAAGATATGCTCAACTTTCAAAAGCAACAAAAAAAAATTTTATAAAAATAAATCAGTTAATTCCATGAAATTTTTACACTTTTATGTTAATTTTTCTCGATTTCTGGTTTTTGTTTTTCGATAGAGATGGCGATTTTTCACGATTGCCTCATTTTTTAATATTTCGAATACCGAAAAAATTATCTGCACGCGTATTTTCATTATGTATGTAGCTCATTTTGGTGGAACGAATTCAAAGTTGGCAAATTTAATCTTTGAATCCTTGTAAAGTACATGACATTGGTAAACTTTGAAAGGCGGTAAAGTGCAAAAAATAGCAGTAAGTGAGTATGCATTGCATATTTTTAGGACAATGTTTTCATTCGCGGTTAAACTTTTAAGAGCTCTCAAAAAATGAAAAATTCATACTAAATGACGCACAAGAAATTTTCTTTTGTCAAGATTTTTGATTCAATTTGCAGCTCTCAAGAAAACAATGCTCGTGTATTTACTTCTTAAAGAAAATTTACAGCAAAAGCAAATATCTTTTTCACGCAACAGAAATAACAAAAAATATTTCCTGTGGTTTTTCTTGAGAGCTAGGTTTTAGTTTACAGGTTTATGATTTAAATATGTACATAGGTACCTATATGTCTCTATCCTGCATAGTAAATTTCTCTCACTTGTATCTGCCCTTGCAGAATTCAAAGCATCAGTTCGTGTTTTATTTACTTTCCTACAGAGTAGCCTTTCTAATGTACTACATACGTATGTATGTACGTCATTTTACTTCCGCTATTTGAGCAGTTTGCGCAATATAGTGCAGCTCCGACGCTCTCCAATTCTATAAAAATTAAATCACATCCAAATCGATTTGTATGCGGGCGAGTACGTTGCAGTGATGTGCACAAATTTAATGAAATCTTTTTGTAAAGTGAAATATTTGCTACCTATGTATGTATGTACATTCATGTGTATTTACATAAAAAACAAGCGCGCACACATGCATACATTCATACATACAATTATTTGCTCTTTCACAGCGTTGCTGATGCTTTTTTGACGTAGAATACGTCTTACCTTAAGGTATGGGGGCTATGTTCAAATGTTGTAGTTGTAATTTTTAGAGCTTCACAAAAACGCTTATTGCACGAGAACTAATAAAGCGATTTCAAAGAAAAGTGTGG